ATATAATTTTCTCTTACAAAATTTACACCAAAGCATAGTCGATTAAGCTTTAAATTATAATTACATTTCTTTGCGTCTTATTAAATTCGTCATATTCGGAAAATCTTATTGATTTCCGCAACATTTCCGTCTGCCATATTGAATTTAAAAATTTGGAACACGGAATCAAAATCAGCGTCCGCGTGAGCCCCCTTAATCCAAATTTCGCCGAAATCGAAAAACCTTTAAGATTTTCGCATCTTTTCCGTCCGCCATATTGGATAAGTCTTTTTTAATTATCATAATTTTTACCATGTTTTTAAAAGAGCGTCCCCGAAAATTCCTTGTTACCAAAATTCACCATTTTCGGATTACTTTAACTGCCTCAACGAATAGAGGCTTCAAAAAAGCGTGACACGCCAATTTTAAGATATGATGATATTTTTATAACCATATACGTAACAGACTCTCATCTTCTCACCTAGCTTGGCAGCGTCAGGCAGGTAAGGTTGGCACGGGTACGCAATGGCGGACCAATCACGGGCCGTTCACGGTTGGCGCATCTTTGGCTGTTTTCCAGCTAGGACACAGAAACGTTACACTGTGCTCCACTGTGTAAAGACTTGTTGGAACGATAGAGCTCTAATTGGTAACACTGGCATACTCTACACGTTCGTACTTAGCTTTTTACAGTGTCGAGCAGTGTAACACTGTGTCACAGTTGGAACACTTTGTGTAAGACACAGTGTTACACTGTGTCATCTGTGTACGTTGTTGGAAAACACCCTTTGATTATAGGTCTTTATTCAAAACTGGTTAACGATTTCGAGTTCGAGTCTTCGAGATATCGAGAACCAAATCATGTTGGACTCCTGTCGGATGCGGCATGCGCCTGGCTCCTGATTGGTCATCGCATGCGTTGCCGCAGCTCACCGCCTAGGGCGTGTTCAGATTGGGCGCGTTCAGCGGACTCAACAGTTGAGTGAGCGCTCGCTGTTATTGGTGTATTCTTTTAGATCATCCAATCAGAATTATAGATCTGGAAGAATACACCAATATTAGCGAACGCTCACTCAACTGTTGAGTCCGCTAAATGCGCCCAATTCTCACCCGGCGCAGCACATGTTTGTATCGTGTGACGTGACTAATGATAGATTTCCTCTAACCTGACTTGAATAGTCGTGCACTTTAACGATTAATATCTCGGTTCGTGAGGCAGAGTGAATGTAAAAACGCATTGAATAAGTATAATTTCATCGATTTTTTAGGTGAACACCCTCCATTCTTTTATCTTGGGTTTCACGATGTCCGAAATTAGTGCAATGACAACGATAATATGTAGAATGTTTAGCAAGAAAGCAGTCAGGTCACTTACTAAGCCACTCGCCGGTATTCGTAAAAGAATGGAATTGAAATATAAGGATGAATCGGTTGACAGTTTCGATGCTGAAGACGTAAGTGAATTCGAAGCGGACTTTATGAATATCGGTATTAGTCACAAGATGTATGAAAGGTATGTGTGTGTGTAATTACATACGAAGATTTTATATATTGCATTTAGTGCTAGAATATAATGTTATATATAAATAATATTTTACAATTATATGTATAAAATTTTATTTGTTTTATTTAACCTAAATTTGCTTTATAATATTTGTTCCGATATTAACTTAATAATTTTTTTTCTCATTTACATTCAAACTTAGATAATTCTCATTTATAACATTGTAAATAACTCAAATGAATGCTCAACTCAACTGAATATTTATCTGCCTATAATCTGTATAAGTTGAAGATCATGAGTTTATATTTTAGGTCTGTTTTTTGTTTCAGTACTGTATCAACTAGTACACATGGCGCAATAAGTTAAAATGAAACAAACGTATATTTGTTTCACTTCAACTTATTGCATCATGTGTACTAGTTCAGACAAAAAACAGACCCTTTTATGACTTGTATGCACTATATACTTTTAGATCTTAAAATGAATTAGATATATATTTAATATTTGATGAAAGCAAGAAAGAAATTTCTAGTATAATCTATTGCAAAAATAAAAGAGACCACGTTTACTTTATTGAGTCTTATTAATTCACATTAAAATTGAGATTATAAACCTGTATTGTTATGGATAACTTTATTATCAGAATAAGAAGTAGTGTTAGCTCATCTAAGAATAAAATTATATAAGTATTTTACTTATATAACATTAGGCTTATTATCACTTGTGTAAAAATAAAAAGTAACTATCATTGAAAATTATGAAAACATATATAATAAAATTAATCTATTACACGTAATTTTTCAGAGAGATGCAGAACAGAAAAGAACATCTTAAACAACAGATTGTTGTCAAAAAGTATTTTAAAGAGAAAGAACCACGTTTTCTGACATTTGCTGAAAAGGAACTAATTCATAAGTTACATAACTTTAATCCCGAGGAGTGGACAATAGAGAAACTTAGCGAAAGTTTTCCTGCTTTACCACAGACAATACGAAAAATCTTGCGTACTAAATGGTCACCAAAATCAGAGAAGAATCTTGTGGAATATGATAATGTGGTGAAGCAAAATTGGGAAAAATTTCGAATGGGTAAACTTTCATTAAGTCCCATACTCAGTGAACATTTGATGAAATTTAAGGACAGAAAAATTATTTCGACAGACAGAGAATTGTTAGCAAAACAGTTTGTTCCTAAACTAGAATTCAAGAAACCAAAGAGTCAGTTATTTTCTAGTATTGTACAAACTTATCTAGAAGAGAAACAAGAGGATATGAAATTATTGTCACAAGAGCATAACTCAAGTAAATTGACAGATAAATCTGATTATGGTAAAAATCAAAATTTATTGATTTCAAGCACTGCAACTGACAGTATGGATGTTATTAAGAGTACAAATACTTTTAAATTAAATAAAGAACGATCTTGTACATTGCGTATAAATTCACAAAAATTTGATGTACCATTTAATAAGAAAACAGAGAAATTACTTACATTTGATGAATTTGTTAAGGTGAAACTTGAAGACATAAATGAGGAATCTCCGGAAGAAGGTATGATTCTCCTAAATGCATACAGGAAACAGATAGATGCTAGTCAAGACATGCAGACTACAGAAGTTGCCACAGCATCTGACAATGCAGAAATTTATGCCAAAGAAGGTGCTCCAACAAAAATTGTACGACAATCTGAGAAAGATGTTACCATAGTTTCTAAGGATAAAAATAGAAATTTTAATATTGTTGAATCAGATGATAATTTGTTAAATACTAGTATCAAAGCAAGGAATAAAAAAGTGGATGTAGAATTAAACTATGTTAAGCCAATAAAGATTGCAAAGCATCTTTACAAACCTGGCATGACGTATCGAATCAGCGATTGTTATTACGATGATGATGGAGAATTTTTATATCGTGTTCCAAGTGTATATAGTTAAATGTTTAAAAATAATAATTGAATGTTTTACTTATATTATTAATGTAGATAAGTTTACATGTAATATATAAATGTGATAGACATAAAATAAACAAAGACTGTGACTTTTCTAATATTTATCTATCATTTTTTTTTGCACCAAATATGATTTTATTTTTCATATTTATTTGTAGACATTAGAAGTTATTGCCTAGACAAAGACTGTTATCACGCTTCACTGTCTTCATGAGTTACAAATATTCCAAACGGACACTGTCTAGGCTGTAACTTCTAGGCGGTCAGGCCCCAAGCGGCTAGGATATGTTATTTTTTTTATGTTTGGGTCGGCGTAACCTCACATGGGTTTTGATTTATTTGGAATAGAACTACGTATAATAAAAACATTGCACGAGTAACTAATTCATTTTTTAAATTGATTTTTAATTTCGTGCACTATTGTACGGAATAATGAAACGCATGCGCAAGAGATCACAGAGCATCAAGAGCATGAACTCGTGAAGATTGAAGAAAGTATATTCATAGCGCTACATTAATCGGTATGACGGATTTCCTAACCTCAACACTCGTCAACTTTAACGCTTAATATCTCGGTTCGGAGGGTAGAGCGGCACTTTTTATTGCCAGATTCGTTCGTTTCGTGCAAAAACGCGTCGAATAAGTGTATTTTTTAATCAAAATTTGAACTGAATGGAGTATTCTATAAACCTTTACCAAATATCATACTGATATAAGTATAACATTGTCTTCAAATATGATATCAACTGCTAGAGCTGTGCTTCAGGTTGAACGACATATAAGTCAGTATCAAAGAAATTATTGTGGTTATAATTTATAATGTTATTCTTTATTAAATTTATATGAATATTTAATTTTTCTTATGATATAATCACTTATTGTTTATAACTACCAACCAATATATTATTAAAAATTATCTGTTATTACAGGTTATAATATTGCAGTTAATGGGTTTCATCAATCTTGTGTACAATACTTAAACCAGAGGTGGAGACAAAAGTACGATTTCTGAAACTACTTATATTTAAATATATAGAACATTAATATAAATTCTGATATATTTAATATAAAATCATGTCCAAGTTTATTATAGTTATAGGATATAGAATATCTATATATAATATCTATTACCTATAGAATATCTATATATAATATAGAAAATATAAAATTGTAAAAATTTGAATTACTTTATATATCAAATTTATTAATATAGATTTTAATGCAATGCTATTTTAATAATACTAATAAATATATATATAATTTACATTTATAATTGTCTAATTAGTATAATATATTTTAGACGTGGATTAACAGCTAATCCAAATACTTTCGGTCTTCTAACAAATTTACCAGATTATACATTTAAAGATGGAAGACCTACACCTCTTGGAATAAGACAGAAAGCACGCTTAGATAAACAACGTGGTTATGCAGTATGTAATATAAATGGAGATTATTATTTGTTTTGAAATTATGTACCATATACATTCTTTTTTTTTTAGGCAAAAATTATTAAATTAGTAGGAGAGGTAGATTTTGCTGTTGAAAGACATGCTAGAATGCAGGAAAAGAAAAAAGAAGAGAGAGAAGGAATCCTGAAGAATAAATTAAAACCTAAAGGAGATTTACTACTTCAAATACAAGCAGATACAATAGAAAAGTAGTTTTCATGTATTAAATAAGAAAATAATATACTTGTACTTAAATATTATTTTATATATGGTTGTTTTGTTTTTCCATTATTATTTTTTACTCGTGTGATCATATAAATAGTTGATATAAAAATCAATACTTGAATTGCATTCCAGTAAAATACACGTGATGAAAAGACAATGTTAGAGAAACGTGATATATAATAAAAACATATTTTCAATAATTTACATCATTTTCAATATATACCATAATGTTTTGCAAAGTATACGTATGTAAAGGGATTATTTTTAATTTCATATCAATGACATACTAAACAATTACATGTTTTATCCTTCAATTGTGTTGTTAATCTCCATTGGCAAGTAACACTGATACATAGCCTGCCGATGTTTTTAGCAACTGAAACAATTTGATTTTTTAACAGTATAATATAAACTTAAATGAAATACATATGTGTTGTTAAGAAGTTATAACACATACTAATAATCTCAAAGGATATCATTTAATGATTCAAATAAAATTACCATAAGATTTGTATATTATTTATGCGTATCATGAAACTCACATTGCAGAACGTGGACATTGTCATTGGAAATGTTTTTCCCGCTGTAATATTGAGAGGTTTCTTTGTGCGGAGCATAATTAATATCAAGTCTCTTGCTGTCTTTGGCTCCAAAGTATACCATACGTATTCATACGTGGCGCGATGTATTTTTTCAGACTGAGAAAATGTGTTTTATATATTCAGTATTGAGAAATTAATTAGATTAAAGGATTAATCTTTTTTGCACGCACGCGCAAATGAGAAAAAGTGAGATTAATTATATATATAACTAGATTGTAGAAAAATTTAATGTATTAAGAATTAAGCCTATTGATTGAATTACAAAACAACTTTTACAATTTCTATTTTTCCACTTTTCTACTGCAAGCTAATATTATTACGTTCGCGTTTATTACATTATATAGCTTCAATAGTGAAGAAAGTCGCCTATACGAACATAATCTCTTAATAATATTAAATAATTTTTGTACCGACCGTAAATTGTCAAACAAACAAGGAAAGAATTATCGCCTATAACGGTCAAAGCTGGATCAAAGTGCTTATTATAAATATGTGTGAATTTTTTATATACTACATATGTAGTCCCCCCATAATTGCGCGCTGATACAATCAGACATATAACGCATAAATACTACAGTAGTATTATAATATCACCGATAAATACTTGATTAATTACAAATAAATATAAAGATGTTAATTTAAATTCGATATTAGTATATCGATATCTATTATACATATCATTATATATCTTATTTTAAAGCTTTAAGGATGACTCTTCAAAATAACTGCATGTATAGCGAGAAAAAGATTTAAATTTGAATACGTACTATAGATAATTGAATATAGGGGCCGAGAATTAAATTATATAGACCAAAAAAATAACATGATTTTATATATAATTATATAAGGTAAATGTACCAGTTAGTAGATATAACCCAATTCATTGGACAAAGTGGTACAAAATTGTAAATACTAAACTTTTAATAATATGTACAACTCTAAATAAATTTGTTGTTTATAAAAATTTAATTACGAATTAATTTAGAATCGTACATACCATCAAAAGCTTTATATTTGAAATATGTTTTAACGCTTTGTCCAACAATTTGGTTCATGTCCATTAACTATATTGTACATACATTTACCTTAGGATGTTTCTTGTAACTATAATAATAAATCATTTAAAATATCTTCGTTGTGTTGAATGCTACGAGAAGATACCACAGAGGAAAGTGTTTCGATTTGAAAGGGTATATATACATGTTACGATGAATAAAAATTAATTCTTCTAAAAAATGTTATATTTTTTGAGACTTCAAGATTACCTCCATTTTTTTTAAATAAAATTGTATGATTTTTTGCACTATGATTTCTCTAATTATTCTGCAAATAAAAGTAGAAATATAAAAAACGAATAGTTTAGAGATATTTTATTAGAGATATATATTTTTATAGAGATATTAATTTTTATTATTTTTATATAGAGGTTTAGAGATATTTTATTACAGATATTTTATACTTTATTCTGGTACATATTTTGACATAAAATGTTAACTTGTAAGTCGTTAATTTGTTTATCGTAACTTAATATCTTTGCGAACAAAAATAATGAGGTAAATCAATAGATGTAAAGAAAATAATACATTGGTGTAAAAAAATATACTATATATTTTAAATAAACATAGTTGTCCATTTAAAAAATTATCCATTATTATTTTAATGCTTATTTTACATCAATTTTTTTACACGAATTGTGCTCTTTAGTAGGGAAGGAGGTGGAGTGGACCTCGCTTCACGTGGAAAGCCATTATATAAGCAAGAAAGGATATAAAATATCCTTTAATTTTAATATTATAAAATTTTTACATTATATATAGCAGAAATAAGATGTTAGTTTTTCAAATTGTTTTGTTAATAATTTTTTAACGAATGACGATCAGCGACGGCTAATGCCCATTTCCACCAATGCAGATTAATTTTAATCTTAGTTCAATTTGCTCTTCATCTTTTTTTAATTCTAAAAATTAGAAAAAGATTAACGGTAAGTTAAACCGAGAATTAAAGTTAATCTGCATTGGTGGAAATGGGCATGCATAAATCTTGTTGGAGCTAGGTCACTCAAGTCACAATATTGACAATATATAAGGTTACGGTTATCGAAGAATTCATCCCAGATTGGCATATTTATCTTTTACATTATTCTTGCAATTATTATCAAAGAAATCATTATTATACTTACTTGAGTCACGAGAAGTTCACCAACCGCACAATAAAGACACGTGTGCATTAAAACACATACAGTCGCAGAGATGTACCAAATTAATTGCCAGATTGATAAGTGACCACCTCGATTAACAACCTAAATCATTTTAAAAATTGTATACATTATATTTTAAAATATATTATTTTATTGATTTGTGTGTGTTTGAAAGTTATATTACATAAAAAATTATAAAAGTGAAACATCTATAAAGAATCAGTAATGCATTTTGATAAACGCAACTTTTGCAACACGTCAATATTATTATTTGTTAATTAACTAATTATAATAAGCTTAATATCTTTAGTGATATTATATATGTATGCTGTCCTGTTATGTTTACTTACATTGATTATTAGAAATCCATGAAAACAAAACAGTATTCCAAAAAAGAATAACAGACCGAGTAGCATTAAATTGAATGTATTATCAATGGTTTCTATAGATCTGTAAAATAGATATTATGAAATAAAAAACAATATATGAATTTCATATGTTATGCAAAATGTTTATACGTTTTCTATAAAATTATTTAAAAAAATTTAATTTCTGTTATTTTTTAAAAGATTCTAATTTATGGCTTATTATTTTTAAAATATAATATTTAAATTAGAGTATAAAGCAAAATTGCACATTGCGTTTCATTTTTATAAAATTTTGATATATTTTTCAAATAATTTTTTTAAAGAAGAGATTAAATCCGACAAATTATTAGAACATGACTTCAGAATATTTTCGATTCAGGACCTGATCAAACGAATATGGTCTTTCACGTTGTATTTTAAAATCGCATTGAAATTTGAATCGTTTCCCAAATTCAATAGTCGCAGACGCAGATTCTCCATCTGGCCACATATATGTAAGATCAGAAGTCCAAGGAAGTTGTCGACTGCGGTATAAGAGAGACCGGATGTAGTGAGCCCGATTACTTGTATCAAATATGTTAATTCAAAATTTGGACTGTTAGATACATCGTGTGGATAGTATGTTTGGATTGGCAAAGGCTTTCCAATTGGATCGGTATAATTTGTTACGTGCCTAAGTGTCTTGCCAAAAAGGAAAGAGCCAAACGTTATTACCAACGTAGAAAGTATCATAAGTGCTCCGCAAATAGCAAGTAAGCGGATGATTCTGGCTTGTTTTAGCATGACGATTCGCTCCTCTTCCATTTTCACTTTTATCCAATCTTTCACAATCATGTTAATCAACGGCGACAAAGCTAGGAAAATAATTTGTCTTTAATATAAGTACTATATGTATATATGTAATATTATTTTGTTGTAACATTATTGTAATACTATACTCCTATATCTCAACTCAATTTATGAATTTGGTATAGTAAAGTAGTATTTATTTGTTAAAATTTATAGTTTTGCGAAATTTACGTATTAATTAAATACAATGGAGGCAAAGAAAATATGAAAGACTGAGATAATCATTTGCTAAATAATAAAATACCTCCTTTGTTGTACCACATGATGAAGACTTTCAACGTCGTTATCAAAAGAGGCAGGGTGTATTGTAAATTATCTATCATTAAAATCATGTCGCCCCATACTCTTATCAGTGACATTAAAGCCGGTATAGTCAACACGATAATTAACATAATAACATTCAATAGAAATCGAATCTTCGACAGTAATTCTTCACGTTGATTTTTGTTTTCTTCTGGCCACAAACCGATAATTTTCAACATGCAACGATTCAAACTGATCGCCCATTCTAAATCTGTGTAATCAATTAAATATATTAGATAATATTCAATATATATAATTAATATATATATACATAACAATATTTTAAATGTAAAATTATATATATATATATGTTTTATATAACTTTATATATTAAAATATTAAAAAGATTTACACAATAAATATTACTTTACACTATAAAAAGCAACTTTTTTCACATATTTTTTCGTAGCTTAACATATTGTATTTTACATTCCTAAAACTTAAAGGGAATATAAAAACATATAATTATATTATTTTTTAATAAAAATTTCTTTTTTTTTAGTTAAAATACATATTAAGTATAAAATTAACATAAGTCCACAGATTTATATCACTTTTACATAAGAGTTCGTAATCTGTACCAACTTCAAACTTTATTTAATACACAAGAAAAAAAGAAAGAGAAAAAATTGAAACGCAGAGTACAATAAAACATTTTTTTTTTAATTTCGACACTATAAAAATAATAAATGAATTTTTTAATTATTATATTTTGCATATAGTAAAATAATTTAATAACATATATGCTATCATTTATTGTACGATACGAAAACAAAAATATTGTTCCTAGTATTGAACACGTCAATTATTTATATGTCTTGCTTTTCAATACACTTTCTCTTTCTCTTATAAATAAATATTTAATACAGTAATTTTAAATTGTAATACAAAGAAATGTTTTGAATTCAATATATGTCTTGTTAAAATTATTAATTAAATAAAAAAGAACACCATTATATTCATTTGAACCATCCATTTGTCAAAGAATTACTGATCTTCCTTCGCCAACGATATCATCCCCACCTTCTGAACGTTATTACCACGCATGCTTCTGATGAAATTCTTGAAACACGATCATACATTGCACCGTCGTAAATATTATAGCAATCAGAACGAACATATGGTGTTATCGTCTCGTCAAAGTGTTCATTCGGCGAAAGGGTAGGATGTATAAATTATAATGGTGACTACGCAAAAACGAGCATTCGAAGTCCATTGGTACTAGTCGTTATTTTGCATTTTTTTCTCTTTTGCGAAGACTTCGTAGTTATAAGATCGCAACTGCGCATACGAGAAAAAAAATTTTTACGTCCGTAATAAGAAGACGAAATGGCCATATCGTAAAAATTTCAGGAGATTCGTGGAAAACGCACAGCTTGTACGTTTTGCGAGCTGCTAAAAAATTCCGTTGCTGAAAGAGAAAAGAATTGCTATCTGTTAGACACTTATGTGTGGTGGTACATTATTAATGAATCTGCAGCTGCAGATCGTTTCACCAAGCAGTTGAGACGTAATCAAATAACGAAAATGATAGGAAGAAATATAGTGACAATAAATAATAGTGATAATTATAAATAATTATAAATAATAAATAATAATGACAATTTGTCGGTGTTTATTCAAGTTATTACTAGAAGAGGTACGTAAACGCAAGTTTATAATAATAACAATAACAATAAAAATAATTTTAAGATTAAGACGTTTAAAGTTGGAAAGTTATTAATTTTCAAACTATTAGTGTGTTATAATTTTTTCATTTTTCTATCAACATACATACCAACAACTGACTGTATTCATTTTGTAAATTTGATAATTACTGAATTATTTGATCCACTATCACTATAACATTGATTTATTTAAAAAGATTTGATGCTTCTTTCTCTATTTGATGATGTGCGAGAATACGAGTAAAAAGGAAAGGATCAAAATACAAAGCATATTTATACTTTCTTTGTAATTTAATTACGTTAACACCTTTAGTTTTATATTACATAAATTTAACACTTTACTACACACATGTATATTGCAAATTATCTTATGTATATATATATATATATATTTTGTATATATGCTCATGCAAAAATATTAAAGGATCCTACAAAAGAAGTGTCCAAAGTGATAATTGCGAATTGATACAAAATATATATCGTTGGAAAGGTCTCGCCGAGTAGAGTTCAACTGCCCGAGACCAATTGAAATCAATCTGATTGTGAGATAAGCAATTATAGTATATTAAGTCATCGTCTGATATATATTGTCATTAATTTCGACTGGCAAGTAACACAGATACATAGCCCGCCGATGTTTTTAATAACTGAAACATTTAAATATTTGACGATTAAGAAAACATACTTAGAAGAAATAGTTATAATATTAAGAAATTACAAGGAATACAATGATCTCAAACAATACTACTGTTTTATATAATTCAAGTAAAATAAGCAAGAAGTCTATTGCATATTTTTTATTTTAAATTTCACATAACTCTCACGTTACAGAATGTCGACATTGTCATCGGGAATGTTTTTCCCGCTGTAATATTGAGTGGTTTTTGTGTACGGAGCATAATTAATGTCAAATTTCTTGCATCCTTTGGCTCGAGAGTGTACCATATGTACTCATACGTGGCATGATGTATTTTTTCAGACTGAAAAAATATATTTTATTATGAAAAAATTTGTTATTTACATATTATTTAAGGATTAATATCTCAAATAGGAAAAAATGGAATTAATTATTTAAGTGATACTTAATTATAGTAAAGTGAGATTTATTGACAATTAAAATTGATTAATGTTACAAAAAGTAGAACATTTTATAACAATTCTTAAGATTATACTTATTAATATCAAATCTTATTGAACCGTGAGAGTTTAAATCCAAATGAATATCGGGCGAGTTTTTTAATTTATCAATTGATCAATCGCATCATGCGCAGACGCAACATTTTGCACTTGGGCATCATGCGATTGATCAAATGCGATGAATTAAAAAACTCGCCAATCAATGAGAACATGCCGTAGCGATCAAGCTAGATCTCGGGTTCTATATAATTGCGTGTGAATTTATATAAGTATTGTACTACGTTTGTAAATTCTTAATTGCGCACCAAATTTTCTTCAGACTTGAAATGCAGAGATTAATATACTTATTGACTTCACGATAACTTATTACATAGCTTCAATACCACATATATGTATACTGATATAAAAATTGTATCTAAAAAAAATATGTTAAATTTACAATTAATATTATAAAAATGTTCTATATCATAGAATTAGATTATTTACATTTTGTTCTTGTGTTATTAATAGAAATTATTATCTGAAGACACGGTAGTGTCTCGGCGCTAAGCCAAGCGCGCGTATAATAATACTTTAATACTTACTTGAGTTACGAGAAGTTCACCAACCGCACAATAAAGACACATGTGCATTAAAATACATGTAGACGTAGAGATGTAATAAACTAATTGCAAGATTGATACGTGACCACCTTGATTAACCTAAATTATTATAAAAATTATATACATTATATTTTAAAATATATTATTTTATTGTTTTGAAAGCTATTTATATAAAAAGTTGAGACATCTATATCAATTCATTTTGATAAACGCATCTTGCAATTGCTTATGTTACTTGCCAATTAGCAATATTTATCTTACAATTAGTAAAATGATGCTATACAGGGTGTAACAGAACAACTGTATCAGGATAATTTCTTGAAAAATATGGATTTTCTTGAAAAATGTTTCAGACAAAAGTTGTAGAGTTTTACATAGTGTGTTACATGATAGTATGAATATGAATACCATTCTCTTGAATACTATTCTCAAGATCATACTATAGCGTAAAATGCGCCACTTGAAACCTTACAATTTTTGTTTAAAACACTTTTCAGGAAAATCCATATTTTTCAAAAAGTTAGTGTTGTAGAATCACTCTGTTACCAGTGATCCAGTAGTATAATTATTCTTACTTACATTAATTATTAGAAATCCATGAAGACAAAATAATATCCCAAAAAGAAATAATAGACCAAGCAACATTATATTGAAAGTATTATCAATGATTTCTATAGATCTGCAAAATAAATATAACGTAAACTGTAAACTAAAGAATAATACATGAATTTTATATATTATGTAAAATGTTTATATATTTTCTACATAAAAATATAAAAAATAAATTTTTTTGATTCTACAATTGAAAGATTAAATTTTAGATTTATAACTAATTTTTAAGAAATTTAAATTATAATATAAAACAAAATTGCAAATATTGTATTTTATTTTTATCGACTCAAACTTTGATGGTAGACTTTTTAATGATTTTCTTTAGAGAAGAAATTTAATCCAACAGATCCATGTTTGAATGTTTTTATTTTAGAACCTGTTCAAGCGGATATGGTCTTTTACGTTGTACTTTAAAACCTCTTTGAAATTCGTTTTCTTCCCTAGATTTAATAATCGTAGACGCAGATTCTCTATCTGACCGCATATATGTAAGATCAGTAGGCCAAGAAAGTTGTCGACTGCGGTATAAGAGAGACCGCATGTAGCTATTGCGATGGTTTGTGCCAGATATGTTAGCTCGTATTTTGGACTGCTAGATATATCATATAAATAGTACAATTGTATTGGCAAAGGCTTTCCACTTGGATCGGTAAAATTCGTTATCTGCTTAAGTGTCTGAGCAAAAGGGAAAGTCGAGCATACAGTTATCAGTATTGGAGTCAATATTATAAGTGTTCCACACTTGGCGAGCAAGCGGACGATTCTAGCTTGTTTTAACATAACAATTCGCTCCTCTTCCATTTTCACTTTTATCCAATCGTTCATTATCATATTAATTAACGGCAATAAAGCTAAAAAAAATAATGAGTGTTTAATATACATATACGTGAAATTATTATTTTTTTGTAACATTATCTTGATATTATAATACAATTATCAATTTAATTGATAATCGATTTTAGTAATAAAAAAACAAGAATGGATTAAAATGGATTCAAATGGAATAAAATTTTAATTTATTTTAATTTATCTGAAATCTGAATTTTGGCATGGTTTATTTTATTTTTTTTAGATTGGATTTAAAAAACTGAATTTTTTTTATTAAAAGGTATAGAAAATTATTTCACATATAATTCCTATAAATGAATAAAAATGTATTGGGCACTGAAAAAGATTTATCACAACGTTTACGAATGCGTATTTACTATTTCTACATGAAAATCTGAGTCCATTTCGATTCATTTCATTTTCATCTTCGTTGGAAAGGTATATGTATTTACGCTTTTAAGGCTTTCACGGGTATTTTCTTCAATTATACCAGAAGGTTTGCGGGTTATCGCCTTGTCTTTCTTCATTAATGCCAACGTTCTGGTATAATTGAGGTATATGTATTTATTAAAATCTGTAATTTCGGAAAATAGATAACAAATTTGCATATGAATTGAATAAAATAATTAATTAAAATCAAAATCTAAAAGAATGAAGTAAATTATTTGTTAAATATTGTGAGGAAAGTAAGAAATGCATATAGATAATGACGGTAATGATAATGGACTGATGAGTGTAGTTAAGTTATGCTAATAAACCAAATCTTTCTTGGCTTTGTAAGCTGAAGTAATAAATAGTCTATTCTGTTATTTGTTAAATAATAGAATAGAATACCTTCTTTTTTGTACCACATAATGAAAACTTTCAGTATTGTTATAAAAATAGGCAAAGAGTATTGTAAATTATCTATCATTAATATCATATCGCCCCATACTCTTATCAGTGACATTAAAACCGGTATAGTCAATACGGTAATCAATATAATAACATTCAATAGAAATCGAATCTTCGACAGTAATTCTTCACGTTGATTTTTGTTTTTTTCCGGCCACAAACCGATAATTTTCAACATGCAGCGGTTTATACTGATCGCCCATTCTAAATCTATACGTAATAAATTAATAAAAAAATAGAATAATTTAGTTAAAATATTTCTTTGCTCTCTCTGTAAAAAATGTTACTTATGTTTTCCTAACTTTATATACTGTGATAAGATTAATCCTGAAAATTGTAGGGAATTTATATATGTATACACGCACGCGCACATGTGTGTACATAATTATATTATTTCTTAATAAAATTTCTTAATAAAAATTTCTAATTCCAATATTAAGTAATAGTATTCAATAATTGACATTCTTTCAAATTAAAATTTTAAGTGTGAAATTAATATAAGAGTTCACAGATTTAGACATATAATTTTTATATATTTTTAAAAAATTTTAATTTAAAAATCTGTTAAACGTATGAGAGAGAGAGAGAGAGAGAGAGAGAGAGAGAGAGAGAGAGAAACGCAGAATACAATAAAACATTTTATGAATTCTAACTTTATAAAAATGATATATTTATATCTTAATTATTGTATTGCAAATGCAGCAAACTGATTTAATGATAACGTATATACTGATTTAGGTAACGATAAAGTAATAAATAAAATAAAAGCAGATGATACTGAAAACATCAAAGTATGTTTCAGTATAAAAAAATTTAAAAACGTATTATTGTATTCTGCTTTCTAATGGGTATAACCACTTTCTCTCTCTTATACACTTATGTTTTGTTAAAATTATTAATTGGATAACAAAAAAAGAACACCATTATATTCGCGTGAACGATCCATTGGTCAAAGAGTTACTGATTTTCGCGTTCATCAACAATATTATTTTTTCTTTCTAAACATTATTACACATATTTTCTATAAAATTCTTGAAACGCGGTACATTGCGTCGTCGTAAATATTGCAGCGATGAGAAAGAGCATGTGCTGTTATCGTTTGGTCAAAGTATTCATTCGACGAAAAAGTATGATGTATAAATTATAATAGCGAGTGCACAAAAACGAGCATTCAAAACCATCTGCTCAAACCGTACGTTTTACATTATTTCATATTTTTCCCTATTACGAAAACTTCGTAAATGAAGGGTTGCAACCGCCCATAAGAAAAATGCTTACGTTCGTAATAAGAAGACAAAATAGCCATATTATTGAATATTTCAACAGATCCGTGGAAAGTATACAGCTTGTAGATACTTTTTATGTTGTTAAAAAATTCCGTCGTTGAAAGAGAAGCGAATAATCGTTTATTAGACACTTTGATAGTTCATTATTAATCAATCAGTACTTTATTGTAGCTGCAATTCATTTTTACCATACAGTTTTGAGACGTAACCACAAAACAAGAACAAGAGAAAGAAATAAGTAATAATAAGCAGTTTGTTGGTACCAAGCCACACATTTCTCGTGGAAACGCACGGTTTGTAGAAACTTTTCGTGTTGCTAAAAAAATTTCGTCACTGAAAAAGAAAAGAGTTGCTGTGTGCTGGACATTTTGGCGGTGCATTATTAATGAATGTATAGCTGTAGACCATCGTTTCCATCAGCCAGTCGAAATCTAGCCACGTAACGAGAAAGATGGGAATTAAGAAATAAGTGACAGCGATAATTTGTCTATGCTAATCCGAATGTGAAAAGATATAGTGTTTATAATTTATATAAAAGAATTCTGACGAGATATAATTCTTAATCTGCAAAAAGAGGAATGGAGATTATTTCTGCGATGAGATGTTTGTTTCGCATATTGGTGAAGCAAATAAGAAAACGGCTCAAGAGATTTTTGTGAGGCTTTACGAGCTGGTTTGGACAAGATGTTGGGGTATAATTTTGGTGATGTGTGTGTGATTTTATCTAATCTTACCTGCTTGCGAACCTCATCAAAAAGAATAAAATAAATTTGACGACGTCGTTCGTTTCGTTTAGGACAAGAATTTCTAATGTGTGTGTAATAATATAGGGTGTATTTTAAATTCTGAAGCTCTCTATCTGCTTAAATTATATAAAAATTTAACCGAGATAAATAAATTTGGAATAACTGTATGTATATATGATACTATGTATGTATAATTGTATATATATATATA